TGTAATTATGGCGAGAAATCAAAATTTCTATTAAGGAGTACAAAATATAAAGAAGTAAACGTCAATATTTATTATAGAGATGAAAATTCAATTCAACTTGATATTGCTAATGTTTTGAAGTTTGAGTTGTGATAAATTTAAGTTTAATATTAAAGACGTAACTATTAAAAATTCTGAATATTAAAAATATATTCGAAATATAATCAAAAAAATATATATATTGTTACACAACTGACACTAATTGAATGTATGTCTATTATATTAGACCAAATGGATGTAAGGACTCTTTTTTATCAGTGAGTTGATTCCCTTTTTGTTTGAGATTTAACATGACACTTTTTATTGGCATGTGCTTTGGCTAGCTTTAATGATGGAACATCATTAGTCATTAGTGAAGAAGATGGACCTTCTGATTAATTCTGACTGCATCAATGTGAATTCTCCTAACTTGTCCAACAATTTTCACAAAAAAGTGTTCCAAACTTCCCATTTGTTTTTTCCTTTACGTTGCAACTTTATCTCATTCTTTGCTTCTTCTCTCGTTTCTCTTTGGTGTCAATTATCACTTCAATTTATTTCTATAATTAGATTTACGTTACGTATTTTATAAGAAATTTTTTCATTTTAGAATTCGAATTCAAAAATATTTGATTAAGAATACAGATAAATCTTTTTCATACTATTGTCTCTCGTAGCAGTGTTATCTATTTCATTTCTAGTAGTTTTACTTTTTGGGGTAAAACAAAAGATTACCGCAAAAAATTTATACAGAGCGAATAAATACAACTTCAAGCGAGCATATATAAAGTGAATAAACACAACTCTAAAATAGTAACTATGAATTTTACTTAGGCAAACTATTGCTATATTTGATAATCAAGCTTCGAACTATCATTATTTGTGAAATTTTCTCATTAAGTGATCAACATAACGCAACTAAATCTTATCAATAATACACTTTAACTCTGGGATACTTGTAGAAGCATGATTATTCAGGAAACTCATATATGTACTTAATTCATAAATTTTGCCTTTATAAATTACATTGCAACAGTTATATTATAATAATAATAATAATACATAGTTATATATCTTAAAGGTATTATACCCCAAGGTATATATACACATATCTGTTGAATGTTTTATAAATTATACGCCAAGGTAAATATGTAAATTTTTGATCGCCTGATCACACTGCGTAAATATTCAAAAAAGAATGGTAAAAAAACAAAAAGAAATTGATGTTAATTTTGGGCTTTCATGATATTGGGCTACCCAAATTATCTTGTGGACTAGTTCAAGCTAGTGAGCTGCTCCAGGCCCATCATGCACTCTCCAACAATACAAGCTAGATTAGGAATTTGCTGAACCCTAAATTCTTCTTAGCATTTAGAACAGTCGAAGAAATCCTTCCGTTTCCGCGTTCGCGTAGCTATGGCGAAGAACAGAAACAAGAAGAGAAATGGCCTAGCTGCCATGGATGTCTCCACTAACCAAACGGTTACGGATGCCCAGGGTAATTTACTAATTATCTACTGTAATTTTTCAGTGTCTTCGTTATCCTTCTATTACAAAAATTTCCTTAATTCTGTTGATTTACGTGGATTTTGCTTAATTTCAGCCATGGATACTTCAGAATCAGCAGCTCCAAAACCACATATAGGTGGATCACTTAAGTAAGTTGTCTGATTTTCATTAGTGTTATAACGTGATGAAACTTTCGGTGTTTTGGTAAATTGAGTTAACGTGTTCTTTGTTAGGACATATTATGAACGGAGTAATATGAACTTCTGTTATGTATTTTTTTTGAATGGCGGAATTGTTAGAGTGCAAGTTCTGTGATCACGTTCTGTTCTTTTTCACAGTTGGTGTTATATTTAGCTTTATGCTTGCAAGAAATATTTTATTTTGTGGCTGCTTGTTTAATATAATATGATTCCATGTTGAACTAGAAATTGAATTTCGCAACTTTGGGGAAGTTTGATCTCAGTAAGCCTACTTTCTCAGAGATCCTATGTTCTCAGTGAACTAGGATAAGATAGAGACAAGGGGAAGGGTAATTGGTTCTTTTACTAAATTTTCTGATTTTACGGAACAGTGATTGAACTGATCATTCCAAATTTAGCAGAATTTGATGACAACAAATAAAAGAACATAAAGTTACTGTCGAGGCTCGAATGGATGTAGAAACCATGACCTACACCCTTGTAGGATTTCAACTCAACTTCATTAAAAACACCGAACTAAAATTGGATTACCCGCAATCCAAAGGACCTACCTCTAAGTCCTTTACAAAGTTCCTAACAAATTTCCTAACTACCCTTAGCTTGAAAAACCACAAAAACAACTTTAGACAAAGTTTTGACCTCAATAAATGCTTCTACAAAAGCTGATAAGAGATTACAGTTTATAACCTATCACATTCACTAGAGTTGACACAAGAGAGATGATCTGCTTGACTTCTGGAACAGACTCAAACACTGGTCTAGCTCCACTACGTATTTTCAGGCTTCTTTTGATGTAAAACTCCGAGGGCTATGTTGCTAAATTTTTTAATCAAGCTTGAGTTTTGCAAAACATGGATGGACTATATAAATCAAAGTGTCCGTTCATTTCACTTGTTTGAGTCCGGTGAAGCCAAGTAGAATTCCTTTCCTTGACTGGTTAAGATCTTGTAGATTCCTTGTATGATTCTAACTCCTTTGCATAATATCCATGCAGCTTGAAAATCATAATGATAACACAAGATAATAATTTATAATTTTACCATGGTAATTTAGCAATATTCTTTACCCTGCCAGATTCAAATTTGCCAAATTCCGTTCTTGTTATTCTTATCATTTTCCCAACTTCACATGACTAGAAGTCTAGAACACCCCATTAGGACAAGCATTATTTATTAAACATCATTAAAAACACTCGACAAATTCCCCTTTTTGATTATGACAAATAAAATTTTCTTGTAGTGTTTATTTTAGCCATCACATAGGGGAATATATTTACCCAAGAACTGTTTATTTCCAGCATGAAAAGAATAAACTTCCTCTCTTTGGTAAGTATCCATGCTTGTCTAGCTCCAATGTCTGAAGCAACCCACCAACCGTCCTCCGACTCAAACCCAACCACTCGCTTAATGTCTTGTTATTTAGGGGATGCAAAGGATAAAAAGAAGCTCAGGGAGTTAACTGAGAAGTTGAGAAGTTCACGAGCTTAAAAGCACTGTTTGTAAAAAAAGAGAACTCCCTGTACATATTTCTGGGGTGCAGGCATGTTTGCACTTGAAATTCATGCATCTTCTGTATTATTCTTCCATTTGTACTCATCTAATTCCCCCCATCTCCCATCTTACAATTCCTCACCCTGTTTCCGCTAATATCGTATGCTTGATATTGCAGAAAGATGAAGGGAGTACAAATGAAAAGGACGAAGAATGTCAGGAAAAAGAAGGCCATGGCAAAGGCTATTTCAAAAAGTGAGAAATTGGAGGAACGAATCACGAGGAGCGAAAGCAAGATAGAGAGAACTAAACATGCCAAAAAGTTATATGAGTGAATGAATGAATGATTCTCTTGTGATTAATTATGAATGAGTGATGATTTTGTTATGTTAATGCTCTCTCCCAGGGTGTGCCATCAGTATAAGAGTTTCTCTTCTTTCATTATAATCGCCCAATTCTTTCTCCAAAACGTGTCAATGTTCTTGCATTTCCGAGATAAACAATGAATAGCGTGCAAATACTATTAGAATGGAATGAAATTCTACCATGGAAAAGAAAAATCTGTGATTTGTGCTTGATCCAATAGTATAGTTACTTATTATGGGAGATATCTTATAAAGAGTTTTTCAAGTTGAAGTTGAAAAGTGGTATTTGGAAGTTAAAATTATAGTATTTGGACATGTATTTCACGTGATTTTTTTTAAAGTTTTGTAAGTGAGCCTTTTCAAGCTCATCTTTATAACTTAACCAAAAAGCACTTTTTCTTTTTATTGAAAAAAAGAAAAAGATCTTTTTAGTTTTCAAAGTGTGTAACTTAACAAACTAGATAAGTTTGGAGGTACTGTAACAAATTGTGAAACGATAGGTGATTTGATACATATATACTATACCCTCCCTCTCAAAATTCAAAATAAGTGCCATTTCAGGTTTAAAAAAAAGTACGTAGTATTTTTTCAACTATACTTTTATATTTCTCTTTCTTAATATTGTTCAATTTTTAAGAGAGATTTATTAAATAAAGTTGATTTAGTAAAATGTATTAAGTTTATCGATTTCCTAAGGGACATAATTTGGATGGAGGGAGTATTAGGAAGTGCATGGCATATGCTGAAACTTTGAGGGAGGTATATGCAATTCTCTTTAAATTAAATAGAGAGAAAAATGAAAAAAAATATCAACAGTTCAATCGGCAAGACCAAGTTCACTTCTTCTTCTCTCTTTCATGGCGCTCCAGCACTCGCCTTTTGGCACTTTAACAACTTCAGCACAAATGAAGTTGGCCGTTAACAGTTTCAGATGCTACAAGCACCTTCGTCCTATCAATATTTCAAGCTTCAAGCATCTTCCGCGAAGAATTCAGGGCAAGTAAATCCTCTTTTCGAACCTCGCGAGCAATCTCTTAGTTTTTCTTCTTCATTTTCTTACAAATTTATTTAATCTGATTACTGTTGAGGTCAATAGCTTGGATATTTCAGTTATTTGATACATATTTAGGCGAATTCAAGTACTTACTGGTTTTTCTTCTTCGTTTTCGTCGAAGTTTATTTAATTTGATTACTGTTGAGGTCAATATCTCGGAAATTTCAGTAATTTGGATACAAATTCAGGTGAATTCAAGTTCTTCATGAGAAGTTCTGATACATGTAGTTTGCTCCAATTCGAAGCGATAATGTCTGCCTTTTCTATTTTTGATCCATGATAAACCAAGCGATTTACTCATTTGATCATACTTAACACTGTGTATTATCTACTAACTTTTCACTGTTCGTTCTTCTAGGTGCGCATTGCAATGTGGAGCATAGGAAAATTCTCAGCAGAAGTATTTCGTGCAGCAAAGAAAAATCGAAGGATCTCCATGAAGATGCTTTTTCTTTGTCAATGGCTGGCACTAGTGCTCCAATTACATGCACAATGCTCTCAACTGCTGTCATAGGTATTCTCCTCAGACGATCTTGCTAATCATGAAAAATTTGGGAGAGCTATATTGGCTGAGCATTCTAGTTAAATTTCCAGGGATAAACATATATATATATGCTGTTTATGTCTTGTTTTTGCTCTGACTTAGTAGTAGTAACGTGTCCATAACTTGAGACTTGACTAGTACAAAGAGCAACGGACTATAGAAGTTATATACACAAATAGGAAATCCTACACTACATTATGGCTTACTAGAAAGAGCAACCAATCATTTTTGCAAGAGGACTGCTATATATGCTCCTGAAATTTAGAAAGCTGAAACCAAGATAATGTCTTGACAAGACTTTAGGGGTGGAGGGAATATAAACTGAGTTCAGACGAATCCATTAAATATGTATAAATAATTAATTGTGAACTCAATAACTAAAACGAGCTATGAATCCGGTGGAAAGTTTAGAATTCATAAACTTTAAATTCTGGCTCCGCTTCTGCTTTTAAACCCTGCAATTCCTTTCCTTCCAGACTATCAACCGAGTACCGATGTAGCAAATCTTTCCATATTGCTCAATGCCCATGCCCTCACCACACATCTCCTCTCACCTAAGCCATAACAAAGGCAAATCCTATGTAGTGGAATGATGAGTCCTCAATCCCAAACATGTCTGAAACTGCTTTGTGAATGAAGTAGTAAATGATTGACCAAGTCAAAGATTGATGCATAAAATTACTTAGTGTAATGTAGTTTGGCTCGCATGATTGTCTTCATCAAAATCAAATCTCCTCACTTACATTGGCCATCTTGAATGCCATTAAAGGAAGCTAGACTCATTTGAGTGTACCAATCACGCTCAAAACTGCTTTGAGATGCTTTACTTGAGCCAAGGGTCTATAGAAAACAACATCTCTATATCTATGAGGTAGGAGTAAGGTCTGCGTACACTCTACCCTAGGAAGGGCTTGGTGTATTTGTGAACAAGCTAAAGGTTTTTGAAGAATATCTTTGGTCACTCCCCAGACCCTGCCTGTTGGATTACACTGGGTATGTTGTTGTTTCTTGAGGTGAATTTGTAGCAGGAATCATTATTTTTGTTTCTTTAATTGATTATGTAATGTATGAACTGTTTCATGATTTTTCTTTTCAGAAAGTGTTTGTAGACTTGATTTGTGACGTCTGTCAAATTCATTTAGTAACTGTAGCTTGCATTTTGTTTTGACTTCGATTTGAATGTCTTATTTTCTGTTTAGTGAATGCTTTGGCTGTTTTCATAATTAATCATGCTTTACAATAAGTAACACTAATTATATGTCTTCACATTCAGCAGCAAATTTGGTTGCAACACATACTGCAAATGCTTCGACTATGGATAACATGATGGTGAGAATTCCTTCATTAACCTTAAGTGCGTTACTTTGTTGTTTGGTGCCTGTTGTCTCCTCTAGCCAGGGAAAGAGGGTGATTTGTTTTTGTGTTGCATATACTTCTGTGAAACCATCATGACAAGTGATAACATAAGATGATCTATGCAGCATCTGTTTCATCGATAAATCCAGCATATGTTTCATTTACTATTTATGTGGATCTACCTCTGAGGTAGGGGTAAGGTCTGCATACACTCTACCCTCCCTAGACCCCACTTTGTGGGATTATATTGGGTATGTTGTTGTTGTTACTAATTATGTGGATGCATATTTTTTTCTGTCCTGTTGCCCCTGAATTGAAGAAATGATTCTTTACTTACTGCTCTGTTCTGTTTACTTGCTTTATGAGATATCATTTACTGAAATAACAACAACAGTTTAGAGTAAATGAGTTCATACCGAACTTTATCCTAGATGTTCTCTTGAGAAGCTGAATTTCTTGTAATACTTTCTGCATCAGTTTCCTTGTCTATTGCTGTCTTAGTGGGAGATTTGTGTTTAACATCTTTAAGGGGATGATATGTGAAATGTTAATCTTTTATAAACCAGTGTTGAAGATGATAAGATGTGAGATCCTTGTTTAAACCTCAACAATTTGAGGGGAGCTGATGAAACTAGGTACACTTTGGGTGGAAGCTTGACCTGCTATCGAGCTAAATGTCTTATTCCGGCTAGCAACATGTTGATGAAGTCATGAAGCCACTTACACTGTGGGCCCAATTGATTTGTATCTTTCTGATGTTTAATTGCATTTTGCTGGAACTTCTTTGAGATTCTTTGCAATTTGAGCTCACTATTCATTTGCTAGTGGAATGTATGTCACATAAAACAGTAGTAAATCTTCAACTGATTATATGCTAAGGGTACTTACTTGTCTTCATTGGCTTCAGGATTTTTCTAGCGCTGTCTATACTTTAGCTGATGGAAGCATTGGAGATCTTTTTGGTGGCCTTCTGTATTCTGCAGGTCAACAAGCTAATGAAGCTGTTCAGGGCCAGTTGACTGTTCTTAGTTTTACTAGGTCTAAATCTTATATCATGAAAGTTTCATCTGGTACTGATAGAATGTATTCATAAAGTTTTTGTGCTTCTAATTCTTAGACTTTCCTCCTTGCAGTTTGGCCACTATTTTTGGTGCCGGGCTTGTAACTAGCCTGTCACCTTGTACACTCAGCGTATTGCCTCTGACCCTTGGTTATATTGGTGGGCACTTTGAAGTTGAATCTTTGCTCTTTATATGCAGCATACATATGTTCTCTCTCTCTGACTTATTGTACGTTCTTTGGAAATGATCTTAGGGGCTTTTGGTTCTGGGAAAAGCCGAGTAGCGGTAAAAACCTCACTCTTTAATTTAACTTTATGTTGTTTTGTTCTTTATCCTTGCACTTTTGATGTGCATTGGTCACAATGAAGGAACTTAAACTACAGATCATACATAAAATTTTGCCAGGCTTACATGTGAATCCTTTAAGGGGTGAATGGTATTTGTTTAATATATCTTGGTAGACAGTATGTGTGATTTTCTTTAGGATAAGCTTCTATCTCAGTTTCCATTTTGGGACATATAAAAGTGTTCAACACCATTCCAGATTCAAATTCTTTTAACTAATCGATTTTAACCTTAAGCAACAAGTATTTATTTGCTCAGTTTTTGGTGTAAAATGGCTAGTATAAATGTCACTCTGATGCCATGATTGACTTCCTCAGCTCATTACACAACTTGTAATGTGTAATAAGTAATAACCCATTACTTTTGGTTGTAACTCTCTCCAGGCATCTTCTTTTTGCTGGAATGCATCAATAAAGACAGTTTACTGATAAAAAATAAATAATATTAATAGTCAAATTCGAACTTTGAATTTGATCAAACTAGCTTGTCAATTGGTACTTCGATATTTCTACTACTGTTTATATAGAAGTCAAACTAATATCTTCTACTCTATATCCAATCAAAAGGTGTAATATAGAATATGAAAGGAGTACTAGGAAGTAGAAAATTGATGTTTCTATGGTCAAAGCTTTGCAGAATTCTGCATTTTACACTTAAACTACCTACTAGGGCATAGTGCTAGTTCAAATTTCTCTGTTTCACTTAGGCTATCCTCGTTGACAGGTTGTTGGAGATTCAATTGCATTTGCACTGGGATTGGCAACCACACTAGCATTATTGGGTGTTGCAGCTGCATTTGCTGGAAAGGCATATGGACAAATAGGACAAGGACTGCCTGTGGCTGCTTCCTTTTTAGCTATTGTTATGGGTCTAAACCTGTTAGAGGTAACTACATATGTTGAATGCTTCAATAGTGTGGTAATAGCCTTTTACTTCTAAATTTTCGTTGAGAGTTTGTTGAGTACTATTGTCTGTAATCTTTATTGAGCCCATGGTTGTAGTTGCTTTGTCTGATATTCAGATTTTTCTATTAAGGAATTACATGGATTATCATGTTGATATGTTAATCGTTCTTGCTTGCATAAATAAGTATCAGTTAAAAAAAGATGTTGTATCAGATGCTCCCACATCACCTTTACCTTAATGAGAACCTGCGAAGGAAAAGGCAGGAAGATACGTCTAGGCATTTGGATAGAATGACGACTGATACTTTTGGTAACTGGGTAGTGAAAATTGTGGGTAAAACAATCAGATCTAAGTACGAATTATATGTTTTGGATTTTTCAGAAGTTACCTTTTCGAGGTTTTTTAGTATCAAAACATTGGAACACGAGTCAAATCATATTAATTATTGGTTTGAAGTAGGCCTATCCTTGAGACTGTCTATCTAACCTATGTGCCATATATTGATATACATTCCTACTTAAGTTTCATATCTGTTGTTGTTGTTGTTGTAATTAAGTTTTGTAGTAGCAATCAACATATTGCATACTCTTCCAATATTTTCTCTTTTTGCCTTTGCCTTTTTGGTTCCATGCTAATATCTTCGTTCTATGACAATGCTGCAGGTAATTGAGTTACAACTTCCCTCATTTTTCGACAACTTTGATCCTCGCTCAGCCGCTGCTAGCTTTCCTTCAAGTAAGTGGCTATAATTATTACCCTACACTGGACATTATCTCTGTTTGTTTGGGTATGGGAATGGTCTCAATAAGCCAGATATTATCATTTGACATTTTATACATTTGATGCCTAGGTGTTCAAGCTTATTTGGCTGGTCTTACATTTGCATTAGCTGCATCACCATGCAGTACACCAGTCCTTGCAACCTTGCTTGGCTACGTTGCTACTTCTCGGGTACTATAAATTGTGACTTTTTGGTTCTCAGGATGATGAAATGATTTTTCTCTTCAATTCTTGGGAAAGGGGGTCTTCCCAGAAAAATAATGAACCTACTAAAAGCACCAGCATATAACCACCATCTGTTGATTGGCTTAATCTTTTAGTAATTACGTATTATGTCATCAGGATTTCTTTCAAACAAAAGTATTTTATAATGCATGCCTTAAATCAAATAGTACAGCACCTGGCTTTGACCACTAGAATTGTGCAGTATCTTTTACATCTTGTATTTATTTTGGTTGTATAACTAGGTTGGATATGAATAGCTTCTTAATAATCTTCTATAACAGGATCCAGTTATTGGGGGCAGCTTGCTATTGACATACACTACTGGCTATGTTACTCCCTTACTTCTTGCTGCTTCTTTTGCTGGAGCACTGCAGGTATTTCATATGTTCCAAATGATTGTTATTATGATCAGCAGCTTTTAGATGGTCCATGGACCTCTTGTTGTAGCACCCATGTTATGGAGCTTTACATTTAAATGGAAAGACATGTTTTAAGAATTCTTTTCCCAATTCAATGCCACTCATCCCGCTTCCTTGTCTTCTGTCACATTCCCTACAGCAACCGCTGTGCCCCTGCACAAGAAAAAAGAAATCTGTTTGATAGTTGGGGTTACTATAGCTTAAGTTTACTTCTTCTGCCTTAGAGTTATTGCTTGCATATGTTCATCACCATTTAAGCACTGAACAACTGCACATGTGTCATTTGCAGAGTATACTTTCATTTCGCAAGTTCTCAGCATGGATCAATCCAATCAGGTAATTGTCTGTGAAAACTAAGGGCAATGTTAGTAATAGATAACATAAACCTCTTGTGCTTCAGTCACTTCCTCTCTAATACCAGCGTAACTGCATTTTTTAAGTACTCAGCCAGATACTTGTCTTCTCAATCATTTATTTTGCAGTGGTGCGCTACTACTAGGTGGGGGTGTCTATACCTTTCTCGACAAGCTTTTTCCGGTGACAATGGCTATGTAGACTAATCAGCTATTCACATAGCAACAACTGGAACAGGAATGAGCTTACCTTCTTCTCATTAATGTTTGAGTTGCGAATGCTCAGGCAAAGCACCATGGAGTTACATAGATCAAAATTCCAAACTAGTGAGCAAGCAAAGGTACGGTGTGTTCACACGACTTCCACTCCTACAACAGGTTGTAAAAACTATAACATATTTATTGATACCATACTGGATACATCTTTCAATAGAAATAAGAAAAACTTGAATTATGTATGTATGAGAATGTTACGTCCATGACAGCACTTGTGTAAATAGATAAAACCGTATAACCAATACAACCTTTTAATGAATTGTAATTTGTTGTGTTAATCATCTGCTATATTCTTGACACTTAATTTGGACGAGAGAAGTTAAGTTTTATTAACCCCCAAAAGCAAAAAAGCAAGTATGTTGAGAATAATTAATTGTATAACTTACATAAATTCCATAGTTTTAATATGAAATTACAATCTATCTCTCATTAGTTTGTAATTACATTAATCCCTTAAAAAGTAACACAAAATCGGATACATAATATGTAGCTCGGATACATTATAACATAAATCGGAAACATAATATGTAGCTCGGATACATTATAACATAAATCGGATACATAATATGTAGCTCGGATACATTAATATGTAGCTCAGATACATTAAAGAAATAAGAGATTTTATAGGTTTTTAGAAATAGAAGGGAATTTTGGAAATAAGGAAAACATAAGACTGTATTTCAGCAATTTTTCCATAATTGTATTAGGAGGAAGTAATTAATAAAGAGATGGGTATCCAGCTTCGTGGTTGTATCACAAGTATGGCTTTGGCAGAGCCTGTTGGAGATTGACTTTGAATGCAATAGTTTAATGAAGAATGGGGGATCTGCAACCAAACTTCTTTGACCAGCAGTTTGTTCACATTCATGATTTTTTTTTTTATCATAATAGATAAAAATATTGGTATTTCAAATGACATCCAGATATGGGCTGTCCAATTTTGTCAAGCATGACTAAATCAGGACATTCAACTTGTGTTTGGCTAAATGAAGTCTTAAACACATGTCATGACATTCCCTTCAAAGGGGTACTTTTAAGATTAAATTGAGAATGTTGGAATTGAAATTTTACTAAATATACATAGAGATCTTTATTCGAAACTTTCTACAAAGCGAGTGAAATGAGAAACACCAAAAATGACCCTACCAAGACGTTTGTATGCTATTTCCGAGTTTTTATATATAAAAATCTTTAGTAAAAACAACAATAGTATACCAAGTGTAATCTCACAAGTGGGGTTTGGAAAGGGTGGTGTGTACGCAATCTTATCATGAATTTAGAGAAACTACTTTTGATAGACAAATAATACGATACACGAAAGCTAAGAAAAAATAACATAAAACCAAAGACAAATCTTTATTACTTGACCCTTGGGGGGAACTATTATTCCCCGCCTCACATCGGTCATGCAGCAAATCTTATTACGGAATTTGAGCCTATCACTTGTTAAGATTAAGCATTAATAGTCTCAACTAACCAAGCTGTTGTTTCTTGCATCCTTCAATCTCATTACCTCCACATATCCCAAAAATGATCTTACACTCCTTAATCCATGGCATGACATTTGCAAGAGTTGTATATAAGAGGGATGTCATCCAAGTATGGCAACCAACAAGATAAAGAAATGGATCTAATAGGCTAAACTAACTTTTAAAACTAGTTCAAAAATCAATAAAAATATTTCAATTTCTATATGGAGAACACGACATGTTAAGGCCATATAATATCCACATGAAAGAAAAATAAAACATTACAACTCAAGCTTTCCATTAATATAGTCTATGTTCTAACTGGAATACAGCTTCCTTTAGTTTTTTTTTTTTTTGGGGGGGAATTTCTCGATAAAAGAAATATGAATAAATAACAGAAGGAGATAAGGGGAAACAAGAAGTATATTTCCTGAGAGATGTAAGCAAAATGCATTCATTCACTATATGCCATAAACCATGTAAAAAGAGAGAGTTTCTCTGTTTATGTGGAAAAAACTCCTAATGTGAGCCTCGATTGATCATCTGAGTATACTGTTGCATCGACTGCTGCCTCTGCAACCTCATATCTTCATTAAACTTCTTAATGAACGCTTCAACTCGCCTGTTCAGCTCGTCCTGACTTAGTGACGGCTCTTTCTTAAGTTTCCCTGAACCACCAGGGGACGGAGTCAGCAACGGCGAGGAGTCAGGGGTAGTTTTGTCATTGAACGTCTCCGATTTCTTCATCTTCTGTTGTGGTGGGGTAGCCGGGTTCCGACCACCGTGTGTCTCCCACGTGTCCGATTTCCTCAGGTGCCTCGTCAGCGGCATTGCACGCCCTTCTGTTATCGTCTTCCATGTACTCTCCAGCGTGTCTTGCCGTTTAGGCTTTGATACTCTCAATGCTCCCTTTCCACCTGTATCAAAACAAATATAATCGCATCGATCGAATCATACTAATTTATCATCATGATTAAATCGTTATAATATGTTGTACTAATTTATCACGATTAAATCACAATGATTAAGATATTAAAAAAAAATACATGCCATGTATTCTGGATTAGTCAAAACATGGATATACATGAATATTGTTAGGCTTATCGTTGTGGAAATGTGAGCAGAGTGAGGTCAGTATTCAGTTATGCAATTTTAAAAATCATGTATTTGTCGTTTACCTTAATTTTCCACCGTTTCTTAATGGGATTATTTTTGGCGTTAAGGTGTACAATCTGTGATTAATTTTGATAATAAGCTGTTTATGGACCATTAATGGAAAAGCGTTAATTAATTAAGATCTTAATGAGTATATTTAAATTTGAATTTAAAATTTAATTGTTTTGGAATAGGACCACTAGCTTCTACGGTCTGACAAGCACCTAATTATCCACTAGCCGGCCCTACTCCCAACGGTAACAATCCCAAGAGAATTTGAACCACAAGTTACCGTTACCGGCTAATTTCGCCGGAGATACAAAACAAATTGAGAACTTAGTCAAAACCTGTTAACTGTTCCGACTGACCGATACACACATACGGAAAATACAATTGAAAAAAAAGTGAGGAATTTAGTTTACCTTCAGGAGTGGATTTGACATTTCTCCGGTGAGCGAATCTGGCAGAAGCAGGAGGTTTCTCAGCCGAGTTGCCTGAAATGGAATAATCAATAGAGTCCTGTCTCATCACAGACGCCCAAGAGGATTTCGAGATTACGAAATCGTCCTTGTCAGCAACAACTTCGTTAGGCTCCGTATAGGTAAAAGCATTCAAGTTGAACGATGTATCTTTCTCCGGTGTGTACGGATTAACTACCGGAACTTTCTCGACCTTTGCATCATAAACACCAGCAGTAGGATACTCGTAAACTATCGGTCTGGCCTCCACTGCTTGATTCTTCAGCACGGAGCCGTTTAAGTCATGAAGGGCCGGAGAATAGTAGTCTGTAACCGGCCTTACATCCTTAATCGGGTGAAACTGGGCCAAATTCTCCGGCGAAACTATCGCCGGCACCGGAGATGAGTTCTCATCGAGCTTGTTCTGCAACTTAGAAGAGGCTACAATCGTGATGATAATGCAGTTGATAACAAGGTATAGATACGGAGGTTTAAGCCACGAAACGACACCGTTCCAGATCGACGGAACTTCACTGACGGCGAATTCAGTGACGACAGGAGCAGAGACCTTTAACATAATAGCAGCAGACAAAACGGTAGTCGAAATCAGAAAAATTTTGATGGATAACATAGAGCTACTTGAACTTTGAAACAGAATCGCCATTTTTCTTTCGCCGGCGACAAGCTCCGAGCGTTGTTATCAGCGTTTTGCTTTATGAGTTTGGGGATTTAGGGGAAGAGCGAAATGAGAGTGAAGAGTCAGGCCTTGTACCAATTTTATACAATATGTAGATAAACGAGCCGTTATAAATACTGAGTTTTTTTTCTGCCCTTTTTCATTATTAGACCGTGAGAACTCTGGAAAGGTCCTTTTGGCTTTACGCAAAACAATTCATTTTAAGCTAATCTTAATATTCCTTTCATTTAACACTTAATACAAAATTTAAAAAATATTTAAAATAAAAAGTATATTTCTTTAGACGTATATAAATAAAATATTGATAGCATCATTAAATTAAATAAGAAAATATGTCTTTTTTTAAAGCGATTAAAAAGGTGTCTCGTTTAATTGGACAAGAAAATTGTGGTAATTCATCTGAAAAATTATTCTCCCAACCAGCCGATCCGATCGGCCGATATGTAAGGTGATTTCATTTGGCATTTAACGCATTTGAACATTTAAAAATGCATTAATGAGAAAAACTAGTGTGAACTCTTGAGAATCGAAGTAGTTTCATTGGTAAGTACATGGTTTAGTTGGACAATTGACTTTAGGAATTTGACTTACAAAAATGTCTTTTGCTCTAAGCAAATGTAATAATGGTATCTTAATCATATGTTTCAGATGAGTTCTGAAAAATAATATTTCCTTTTAATGCACCATACACTTTGTGAATTGAGATTAATAGATCAATTTAAAGTGAATACTGAATATGAAGTAGAGCATAAAAAATGGTTATTAAAGTAGTTAAATGAGATTGTTTAGATTAATGTGTAGACATATTAAGAAAGACAAGATTATGGATGAAAATATACGAGCAAGGTGGATAACCTAGCGGCAAATAAAATACAGTGATGTTAAGAATAATTAAGAACGTATAAAGGAGGAATATAGATACATAAATAAGAAAGTACATAGATTAAGAAAAAATAATTAAACAGGATATAACACACTTTCAGCTCGTAAAATATATGACTCCAGAACGAATTATATATATATATATATATAAGAAAAAGACAATTAAGCTAACGTTAGCTCCGGAAAGTGTTAGCAAGTGAGTGGTCAATAGGCATGTGACCAAATCAGTCGGTGTGCCGCTCCCTTAACCGACCATACTGGACCATCTCCTATTCTTTTTATTTTTTATTTTTTCACTTTATATTATAAAAAAATTCAGTATTAAGAATCTTTACACAATATATATACACGTTAACACGTAAAATCCAATCTTACATTTTGAGAAATTCATTTGTAATTATATTTTAAGTGATTTGATTGAGTTAAAGTCATAATATTTAACTCATCTCATACATGTATTTACCATCTAGAATTGAAATTTTAAGTCGACAAATGTGAGATAATACTTATTTTTATATCAATAATTCAAACAACAATATATCTCGTAAAATATCATTAATAAAGTCTGAAAAAGATAAAATATATGTAGATCTTATAGGAAGAGTCGGTTAGTACGTTGTATAGCACATGAATGACTTGATGCTCTCACATGCTCAACCACATATACACATTGACCAAAAGCCAAACGCAGGTTAAAGACCTATATTTTACTCTTACTTGTCAACACATTTGTGAACTGTTTTAATTTAGTTTTTTAATAAATAGTCAACCTTCGAATCGATCCATCTTTTATCTATTTTGACATAAATGAATTCACAATAATATATCACACGTCCACGTTAATGTTTTGTTAAAATGTCAATATGAGAGATTAAAATATCACTACGTAATTCGAACTCTAATGTAAATTAATGTTGATCTTGTCTTCTATTAATATCACCTTCACACTTAATCTAACTATATATGTATCAAAATATATATTTAACTAGCTTTGCTTTTATGAAAGAGAGTGTCACGATAGTAAAGATCATAAATCTATCTCAATTTATTAAAACATTGTATTAGATATACATACAAAATCGTTCATTTCAAAAGTTCTTTCAGATCTCAACCAAGTCTCCCTCAACTTAGCCTTATAGTACCAATCAAGTTCCCTTACTAGGTAACAAAAGTCAATTATAAAAATGTATTTTAATTGACTTTTTTCTTTCTTAAGGACTTTCTTGTCCGTAGAGGGACAAGAGTGGAAGTTTCCTTTCAAATACATCACACATTTGAGTTGTGTTTGTATACGAGAACTAAGCTTCAATTAATTTCGTCCACCAAACTAAGTAGTGGCAGCTACTAGCTCATGAGCACTCCAATTTTTCAACTATATTTCATGGCTAAGAGCCTCACAAGTCACAACGACCAAATTATATTGCTTGAATTTCAAACTTAAAATACGTAAGGTTTTTTACTTGGAATTACGTACACAAATTTAGAACTTTAAAATCCTTCACAGACTGTAGATAAGTAGATTTATCAGAGAAAAAATAGTACTATTTGTGTAGTGTGTACTATGATTCACATCGTGGGGTTGAGAATTTCTCGATGGTGATGATTATCAAGGAAAAAAAAGCACATAAATTCTAATTCATGAGAAACTTCCTTCACTTTTATCTTACTACAAAGTAAATTTACAATGACTCGTTCCTTGTTCTGGAGGCTTAATATATCGGTAATCTTTCAAACTTGATGATAAATTTTATTTAAACACTTGAACTACGATTTATTTTAATTGAAAACGTAAAGACATATTATAGTGTCCTATTAGACACTTCAGTTCAATCTCTTTTAAAAGAAATGTTGTGAAGGTTCTCAAATTTCACTTAAAATGTCACGTTTTTAACTATATGAATTAGCCTTAATAAGTCGTAGACCCTCATGCTTGTTTCAATCGAGGAAGTTGTATATAATTAAAGGAGAATGCCATTTTTGTGGTTAAATTATCTACGTAATGAGCACTTGAGAACACGCACAAAAATAATTTCAAAATTTGAACCAAAATTTTCTAAATCGATACGTTGTTATGTTTTTAAGTGTTTAATTAAAACAAACTATAATTCGAGTGTCTAAATGAAATTTACTCACAAGTCTAATAGGGTGTTGTCAGAGGGTAGGGATGTACCCTTACTCCTAATTTTATAATGCGGAGGTCAGATTCCCCCTTCATGCTCCTTTTGGCTTATCTATTGAATCTCTCTTCGAGGGAACCTTCGCGGGGCGGGGGGCGCAAAGGCGTGTGAAAACAGAGTCATAGATCTTGGTACCGTCCATCAAATGGATTATTGACACGTGTTTGATCTACTTACCATTTTCCACAGGCAGATTTGCGTGGATTAGTTTTTTTGAGTAAACACTTCAATTTGTATGGAATTCTTAACACATTATTAGTGTAGTCTAATCAACTTCAAAATGCTATCTAAAACAATTATTTGCCATTGAATTTAAAATAATTTGACAGTGCTAATCTCTATGGGACGATTCTTTAATCATCTTATTTCCCAGATAAAAATAGAATATAGTAGTATATTTTAATCAACCCAAAAGATGGTACTAATCATATAATTGCTACTGCTAAAGAAGATTTAAGAGAAGATCACTCAGAATATTAGAATTAGAAAACAAGAATACAAGAGAAAAGGAGGAAAAGAATCGAATTCCATCCAATCTTGAGCACTTATTTTTCCAGATACAAAAATACAAATAAAGCCATCACCTGAACGAAAACTCAATATTTGGTCCTCTACATTTAGTTTACAATCTCCAAAACAGGAGTAGAACAACAAAAGCTAATTTCCTGTGGAATAAAACAATTTGTATACTAATAACTAGTATGCTTCCTCGTTGGGTTTTCAACGTTTTGTGAACATGCCCTGTGTCAAAGATGAAAAGTCGAATTCTTTTGTTGACTGCGTGGAGCTTGATGAAATCGGGGTAGCTGCTTGCTTGCTTGGTCCTGGCGGCACAATACCGTTGGTGGAAGTATTCTGTCCCATTGAGTAGAAGCTGCAGAATAAAAGATCAACTATGAGCATCAATATTCAATCCTAAGACTAAAAGGTGAAAAATTAACTAGAACCCAAAAATTTGTTCCTCCTGGATACAATAAATAGCACAACTATCAAAATTTGTTCAACTGATTCCATAACCTACATCAGTATTAAACTAAATCACACGGTAAAAGATGACTGGCAGCTGAGCTCGTCAATGTAAATTTAGCTAACAAATGGGGTAAATAAAGTGTACAAGCCAATAAAAGCAATTGATAATCCAATATAGGGGTCTGTCCGTGACCCACTATTAAAATTGATCATACACCTCTGGAGATGTAGCTATGGATTAAAAAAAATACTGTTCAACAGGGTCCTGTCCACAACCCATTATTAACCAGAGGAGTAAGAGGAGAGATACTTTAAATCAAATGGAAGAAGCAGTTAACGGATACACTACATTGTGCATTAAGGGGTCATAATTTAAGAGATCTGAATGACAAATAATTGGCAGGATAGATGCATTGCATTAAGTTGTTGAATTTATGGTCCAAACAATAGGCCCTCAAAGAACAATTCAACAGTTGAAGTTTTACATTAACCAACAACGGATCAGAGGTTAATACCTGGATGCTGGAAGTGGCACAGAGTTTCCAACTACATGTGTTGGTCCCATATTACCTACCTAGTTTAGAAGAAAAATAAACAGCTTTGAGTAGAGAAACTTACAGACAACTTCAATGCTAAATCAGATATCCATGTGTTTTTTTTCTGTTTATCTTTGATAAATAATACTTGTGTCCTACCTGCATATATTTCTCCAGCTCAGTCTTACCAGCTGCTGGCATTATCACTCCAGGGAACTGATAGCCTAAATTTGGCCAATTCTGATTCACCATATTGATTCCATTAGTGCTTTGTTGTGCATTTACAGGAAGTCTTACAGCATCACCTGCAGCAGCCGCAGCCATCAGTAAAGACTGTTGTTGCGCCAGCATAGCAAGTTGTTGTTGATGCATAGCAAACGGTGACACCATATTGGACTGTAAACGACAACATCAATTGTTAGATAAAAGAAAAAGATGGACATGACCAAAAATCCAAATTCTTGTTGTGTTGTACCTTGTCGAAAAGGCTCATTATATCGTTTTTAGCATCTTTCTGTGGCTGCTGTGATGAGGCAGAAGGCACAATTGATGGTAAATCCTTGAATAAATCATCAATTCCAGAAGCAGCAGCAGATTGAGACTTCTTCTGATCATCAGAGTTTGTAACCCCAGTATTTTCTGCTTTTGTTGCTTCTTGAGCAGCTGCAAAGGCACAACTTACTTTATAAGAGAAAATGAGCAACAATAGGTAATATGATAACTTCAATTTAAATCCCAATTGATTCCCAACTAGAGTATTTGACCTTATCATAGCTTTATATGCCATAAAATACAAACTTCTAATCTTATTATTATTATTTCATATATTTAACTTTTTTCACATTTATATATATTTGGTATGATGATGTGACATGAGTTGAATTGAGGATTCATATACAATCCCAACTTTTTTTGAAACCGCGGTGTAGTTGTTATTGTTGATTCTCAAACTACCTGTGTGCCATCTCTCAGAAAAAGAAGTAAAACACTTGGAAAAAGACAAGTACACCCTCTAAATGTTAAAAACTGGAAGAGAAAGAATAACGTTTCAAACAAAACGGTGACTTGACATACACTGGAAGCCTGCCCAAGAGTTATCATCCGTAGAAGCTGCTTCTGAGCCATTGTCAGTTGGACAATCCATAGAAAGCATGTCAAATAGATCAGTAGCATAATCAACTTTAGGAGGATTGGTAGCTTCCGCAACCTGCTTAGCAGATTCAGTGACTGCAACTGGCTCTGCTTTCTGACTTGTCTGGTTAGCAACCTGACCTGAAGTTACCTGTAAGTAGTCAAAACTATAAGAGTCTATTCTAATCCAGAAAGTATCCAAACTAACTCAGAAGAAACAGCAGTTAGTAGCAGTTAAACAGAAGGACCAACAGGGGGCCATGAATACACCACGTACATAAAAACTAAGATGCCAAGTATGTAATGGCTAAAAAACAGTACGAACAAGAGCTGCTTAATTCAACAATCTGAGTAAAGAATCAATAGTCAATACCAATACACTTACAGTGCAACAATAACCCAAGAGCTAACGGCCCAATCAGCTCACATACATAGGCAAGTCGGGTAGATAACCAGCAAATGAATAAGATTTCATTCAAAATAGAACATTGAAACACTAATACTACACCTGGAAGGGAAAGTAGTGTGGATAAAAACAGTTTGACGAATAAGTTCAACATACATGATCTGGTCCTTTAGGAGGCACTGGTATACTGACTCTAGCAGCGGGTACATCTTGCTTCATTTTCGAGGCTTGAATATTTTTCCTCTCGTCAGATGCACCGCCCGAGCTAGTTGCATGTACACGCCCACTTCTATCATTGCTTTGTTGCCATTGCACCGAAGCCCTTTCTTCTTGAACCCTGGAAGGTGATTTTTGAATCCCATCCTTAGGGACCCACCTCTTCTCTTCATATCTTATCAAAACACAGGAAATGTCTTGGATAAGCATCAAATACTAGATTGAGTGAAAGAAGACTGCATAAAGGTACTAATTGTTAGGAGAGAATTAGTAAGCATACTTTGCTCGGATGAAATTCTCAATACCAACTCTATCATAATTTGGAGGCAGCTCTGCTTCCCAAAAACTATTTGACCTCTCATTTCCCATTGCTATATCAACCCAAAAGAGAAAAAGAAAGGTTATAAATAATTATCTATCAAATCAAAATCGAAACAGTGATAAGTATCAGAAACAGAAATCTTACAATGGATAAATGCAACTTGTTCAGGAAGCCATGTGTCTAGTGTAGCTGATCTGACCTGCAATTTCAAAGAATCAGAGAACAAAACAAAAAAATTGAACAATTAACAATCGCTCAAGAGTACAATGAGTCATTCTTCTAAAATGTAGATATTTTTATTGAATATGTAAAAGATGTGGGATTATATCCCATATACAAGTGACATTAAAAATAGTTAAAGAACCTACACAAAATATAGTGTCCTATAAAAGACGTCCGATCTTCTATGGAAATAAGAACATCATGAGTTCAACTAAAAATGAGACGCTATTCAATAGATATACAAAAGTAGACTCAAACTACAATGAGCCAGTGAACTACAACCATTTAAAAATAGGAGGGAAAAAAGCTATCCAAGGTTGAAGGATGATGAGAGAAATCTTGTCACATGTCCAAGTCAAGAGATACTTCACAACCACACAGTGACAGAAAGTGCACCAGGATTATAATGACCATGGATTGGTCTAATAAATTGCTAGCAGTTGTCAGCAAATCCCCCCCCCCCCCACCTCCCCCCGATGAAAACAGCAAAAAAGTTTCGCAGACTTTCTTCATTTTAAGGATAGTGGGTAATAGTTAAATGACTCCATTCGGTCGACATGTGTGCATAACAGTAAGATGTTAGAAATTATTCCTGTATCATCTTCATAAAACACAAAGATGAAGAAATGTAGAGTGATTTTCCTACCAAAGTACATAACATCTATTCCTCTAACCAGAAGACAATGCAATAACAGAGGAAGTTAGATATAGGTTGAATTTCAGTAGTAGAGTCATGAATTAATAGATATGAAATGTTCCCCATCCTTGTGATCTTAAATCAACATATATTCATCAGGGGTGCCCCAGGTGAAAAAGGAATGAGTTTTAAGTTTTCAGTCATACTTAGTGGCTCACAGAATTTTAACTCAGTCAAGAATATGAAGCAGCAATACTACAGCAGCAACAACAGGGAGCACTAAAGTTGACCATAACCTTTACTATTGCAATTTATCAATTGTGACAAAACTTTTGACTTCAAGTGCTCACCACCATTTCAGATTTTTTAGTATATGTGGAACATCTTGGTTATGATAAGGAATATATCACCTTTGATATGTGCACCCCTAGGCTTCTGTGGATCCCAGAGCATTGCATGCAAATAAATATTCCCAGGTTCACGCTTGCCCATCTAGGACCCCTGCATTGGTGTAAAAGAAAAATACAGTAAATACAAGGATTCCAAATAATTCCATACATAAAGCCAATTCTGTTCAATTTAATGATCTATTAACAAGCGCATCCGAGCTTCACTATGTCACGTTTCAAATACATCCTAATACGTACTTGGCTTTGCAATCTGCACATTCCCTGTTCTCGGGCAATTTAAGAAGTCCTTCTAGTATCTGTCAACAAGCACAACAATGAGTTACTTTGAATGTGCATGCACACATAAACCACCAGTAAGTAAACTGTGAAGGGATCATAATAGAACCCAAAACTGCAACGATGATAATCATCCTTGTGGTTAATTGTGTTTCTTGCTTTGATTTGAAGAAAATTTTACCTTTCTTCCTCCAAGGAAAATGAGTGAGAGGAGCAAGAACATATACCGTAGTTTTTATATTATTTTGGATAATATGTGCATGATACTACATCGGACTTAATGCCTCCAACTCAGGATGCTAAGAATTCTAAATTGAGGAAGCTTCCATTGAGAGCTTGCTTAAGCTGCTTTCATACATCCTCTAACTTATAAAGAAACTATCTTTCCTCCTACAGCTCTCCATCAGGGAGCTCTGGATAACTCTATTCAATGATAAAGTCACTTCTAACTAGTAATTTCAGTGTAAAAAAGTTGACAAATGATGAAACGCTTTGACTTTAGGTTCTCAATACCAGCTATATGCATATTGGAATCAATTTAATGAGCTAAGAAAGGAATAATATGGCAATAGTGCCTTGGTACTATGAACAAATTTCACCTTATGTCTTTAAATAATTAGTAACAAATAAAAAATGATGTATATCATGAAAACCCTTCTCTTGGATGTATCATATACTACTAAGGGATGATAAGAAGGCGATTTGGAAGACAGAACCTACATACACTCCTTGACTATCCGGCGAGGAAGGCACAGTAGAACTTTTGAAGGAGTGAAAGACAGAAATGGAAAGCCAAAGGAGATCTCTTTTTCAATTTGTATCCATTACAAAGAAAAGATTCCTCTTTGTACAAATAGACTTGGACAGTCAGTACAAACCTTATGTAGTGTTGACACTGTCTCAGTGTCATATGCAATGAAGTGATCTAAATTATCAAGATTAAAAAAAGAAGTTAAGGTACACAGCAAGATGCTTGCTTTAAGTAATCTAACAACTGACTATATATGAAATTGCAATAACTAATCTATCTGTGTCTGTCTCAGGACCTATCACGGTTTTTTGGAAAACTCTCACTCAGTAAGCATATGAGTTAAAAAAATCTTCTTTTTTTATCCAATTGTGTGTAAGTGTCTATTTTTCTTCTTCTATTAGGAAAAAATGAGCATCCAAAATCATAATTCAAAGCACCTGCTTGAACTAGATCATCATTTCACTGCTCGAATTATCAGAATAAAACTAGCAATAGGAGTTCAAAAAGAACACAAGTGGAAAAAGGATCCAATAAGCCCCAAATCTCAAATATTAACTGATAAAACCATATAAGATGTATCAACCAAACTCAACCAATAGTCAAACATCATCAAATCTTACTAGATCAACCACAATAAACTGAAATTCAAAGGAGAAATCATGAATCGGAACAAAAAATACCTTTCTATGCTTCGCATTAAGCTCTTTAGTAACATTAGCCTTCTCATTCATGGTGACGATAGCAAGGGTTTAAGCGAATTGACCGACGGAGAGAGAAGATATCGGAAAATGAAAATCGCCGATCTGATTCCTCCCCTCTCCGACGCGTAAATATCTATCAAAAGAAAAATGCAACTGGATGAGAAAGGAGGAGGAATCGTAGCAGTGCCTAGTTGATTTTGACTTATTTATTTGTTTGCGAATTTTACTTTGTGTTTCCCGTGTGAATTAGTGGAAGTAGGTCCAACATGAGTAAATATTTTCCTGAGTAGGTCCACCATAAATATAGTGTTAATTCATGTAACCTTATTTGATTTTACGTAAAATTAATTAAAAATTGAGAAATAAACGAGTTATTAATCTATTCAAATTTAAACGGATTGAACTAGGTCATAATTTTGTAAGTTAATATAGTCACACCCAGTGTTATAAAAGGCAGAGGCGTGAGACGAGGCATTTTACTTAGTATAGGGCGAGACGTAAGCCTCGAGACGTAGGCGTAAACCCTACGAATTTTTAAATTTTTAATTTACAATATAGTATAATAGTATAATAACACAAAATTATAAAAAAAATACATCAATAGTTTGAGATATTACAAACATAATTAAGGAAACTCATAGAAAATAAAACTTCTAACATGATTATACAAGTATAAATAATCTAATAACTTAACTTTCTAATAATAAAAGAATCATTATTTCTAAAAATATATTTTTTTATTATACTATACAATTTACCCCCTAAAAGAAAATAATCAATAAAATCATGAATAAAAATCAAATTAGTTTCAAATAACTAAATAAAATGTGATAATTTTGAGACATATGACAAAACTATGAAGACTAATGATAAGTGAAAAAGTAAAATTTCGCTATGTATTTTTAAAAGAAATGTTACGTACTAAATAATTACCTGCACAATGTTACCAAATAATAAAGATACGATACTACAACTTGTTATTTGAGTTGCTCACAATCTTCTTATATCTATAGATTAAAAAATTATTAAGTATCATTCAATTATTCAAAAATTACAAGGGTCAACAATGTTAACTAAAGATTTTAACACATAATTTGTGTAAGATCTATTAGGCAAGCCCCGACAGCGTTGGGCGTTGGATGTGCTTAAGGTGTACAATCAGGCGCTTAGGGCGTAAGTCTTACAGAACTAAGTCCCACAGTTGAATTTCGGGACGTTTTGCTAGAGTTCCGCCCCAGGGTGAGCCCCGAGGCGAGTCCCAACAGAGTTTTTTAAAACACTAGTCACACCTAATATAAACAAAAAAATCTATTCATCTCAACCGTCATTCTTTAACAAACTTTATTGATTTAGTTAAATAACACTATTGTTTTTGATGGTTTGGAAGCGCTAACTTATGACAGTGGAGTGCAAACTAATTTGAATAAAGGTGTTTAAGTTTAGGTTTGCATATAAATTAGTTGAGAAAGTGATATTAAAATGTACCCAAAAGATAGGTTAGGTCTAACATAATCATTTAATTATATGAGCTGTATAAATATATGATTAGTGGTTTACTGTTAGCTGTCTAAGAGCTACGTTAACAAAAATCTCGTTTTGAAAACAATATTTATTCGAAATTTGTTTTTAAAATTTACTAACGTGTCCATTTTTAATCTCCGTCAAATATTTAACGATGCTAACTTCACAATTAGGATTTGGGCCGGGTCAGCCCAGGCCCAGTACACTCAATAGCTACCGGAAAAGGGCATTTGGGTCTTTTGGTCATTGTCTTCTTCCTGCATCTACTCATTTCTAGGAGCTCGCTCACTCAGTCCGGCGGGTTCTCACGGCAGAACGATACGATGGCGGCGTGGACGGCGGCGGCGAGGCAAGCAGCGAACCTATCTCGATTTTCGGCTTCTAAATCAGTTAGCTCAACGAAGCAAGGCGCTTTACTTATCCAGCGGCGCGGTCTTGCCGGTGGTAGTGGTAAATTAAACTAATTCTCCTGAAATTTGTGAAACTTTAATATGTTCGCTAATTGTATTATCTGATTGTAAAAGAAATAGTAGAAAGCCATGGCATTTTCTTGTAATGTCGTGATTCACGGACATTGGAAGTTCATATAGGCATTTGTCTTCCTTTTTTTCTTTTTTAGTTGTTTTGGAAAGTGAAAACTTTTTATGCATATTCTTTGTTTGCGCTAAGTCATGACGTATGTAAGCTCGCCTGCAAAAGTCATGTGCTCTTCTGTTAAATCTCATTGAGCCTAATAATAGTTACTTGTACTGTTGTACATGATCAACAGTTACAAATGTTTTGCTCTATTTGCTGTGTTTTTTCATTTATTTCTGCTATAGTACCGTTGTCTTTTTTCTATTTACTGCTCTGGATTTCAAACTAACAGAGCAAGCTGAAGTTTCTTATACTACTGGGCTGAGCTTGTTAAATTGGTAAAGGAGAATGCATGTTCTCTGGTAACCGGAGTTTCCAAAGTTCCATTGCATTTGTTACACACCTCAAAAAACCTTTCTGGAAAATCTAGCAAGATAGAAAATTGTGCACTTCCTATAAAATATATAGTTTACTGCTTCTACTTAGTTCAATATGCAAATTAAACATTTTATATTGTTTTCTTCGTCCTAATTGGCTTATGACCTCCTCCATCTTTCTATATATTGCATCCAAGATTGACTTGGAAAGTGGGGGAAAAGGTTGTGTAGAAGGGGTAATCAAAATCCTGGCTTTTTTTGTGTGTTCTACCACTAAAGAAGTGAGACGATAACTAATATTCGTTCTTTTCAATGCAGACCATCATGGACCTCCAAAGGTGAACTTTTGGCAGGATCCGATGAGTCCATCAAAATGGAAAGAAGAGCATGTGAGTCTTTCAGACCTTTGTGATGTCTTTTCTACATGTTTAAATTACTATGACTTTTTTTGGTTGTTGGCTTTGACATTATCAGCTTGCTTGGCTTATGAAATTTCTGCAATTTGCTATGAAACTTTGAATGCTAGATGTCAGATAGAGAACTATTACCAGTACTTCTAATTTTCACCTATACATGGTTGACAACAAGTTTAAGTGGGAATTGGAGTGCCACTTTTGAATTGGGGATCCAGAAGAGCATATAGAGTATTCACAGTTCACCTGTGATTGTGGGAAATGATTTTCTCTCTACTACTTATTTCACATTGAAGTCTGTTCAATATCTAGAAAGTTTTACTCATTTTGGTAGGTTCCTTTCATATCTATACCAAGGTCGGGCCTGTTTTGGATAGGCTCATCAAAGTACGTATTAGTACAGATTAGATTGACAAAATATATACTTTGGGCAACTTCAGCTTCTAGTTTTGATTGTGAATCACCAAGGTTTGGAGTCGTATCTTCAATAGTTCAATGACTTGAAGTCTTTTCAATTGGGTGCAATGTTATCTGTGGATATAACATGAGTGAATTTGTTAAATTGCTATAAAAATTCACGCTGTATACTATTGTTAGTGTAATTTGATTATATTGTTTTGGTTGTAACTTGGAATTAGAATTTCTAGTCTCCAGTTAACCACATCTCTGGTCCTTGTAGTTTGTGATCGTCTCTCTTACTGGTTGGGGGTTGACCTTCTATGGAGCTTATAAGTTCTTCACAAAGGGAAAGAAAGAGAAGAAGGAAGAGGTACATTTCTTTCACGTTTAGCAACTTCATTCAATTTTTTTTGCTGTTGCTGGTAATGTTAAAGCATATATTTCAATGTCATTATCTCCTATATGTCCATATTATAAATGCCTATGAAATATTTTATCTATTTTTGCCAGCTATTAGCTGATTGAGATTTGATTAAGAATGATTTAATAATAGAAGACCAAATGATCACCATATGGTTTTACTACATATGCTAGGTAAATCTTACCTTACCTTATGAAGAAAAAAGGTATATGTGAGTTAACTGAACGTAGCAAGTTTATCATGTATATAGTGTATATAGACATTTCACCTTGTACAGCAGACTATTCTCAAACTGTTCTTGAAATACGATGTTTTCTCTATCTAATATCTTATCTGATTTGCTTCATCTTATGGCAGAAAGTTGGTGACGGATCCCACTAATATTTGACGTGCTTAATTGCCTTGAATAAAGAAGTTAGGAGGGCTATGTGGTCCTCAATTTTTGCCATGAAGAATGTTAAATGGGTTTTCCCCCATTTCCTCCACTTTTCTTATTGGGACTGAATTGCACATGAAATATTGGACAATCAACTATGTATATTCTTCTTTTGCTTTTTTCTGTAGAATGTTGGTTCATTTAGGAACATTTTGCCTGCTAAGTATATGATGTTTCTTCTTTTTTGAAACTACTTTAGTTACCCATTTGCATAATTATCATGAGTATGTTGAAGAGACCACAGTTTTCTTCTCATTCCATTTACGCGTCATTCTAACCCATTTGAATGTCTATGCCTGGTTTGATGGAGCTTAATGAGTCAGATGCAGCAAGCTCATTAGCTTCGTCATACTGATTCCATCCGTTGTGCTTTTGGTCATTTGGTGCCTATTTCCATTTATGTTAGACTATGGGAGATGGTTGGTAAAAAAAATACCTTTTCACACAATTCTAGCTATTGAAGGTGGAAACCAGTGACAGGAGACGCAATGTAATAAGTTGGTAGAAACATGGAACACTTGATGGTTTTTACACATCATTAAGCTCTAAATTTGTTTAGAAATGAACTAGTAATATCAAAGCTCTTTCATTTGACCACAAAAATATACTAGATTCAGTTTATTGCTCCTACTGTCATAGAGAAAACGGCATCATCTGGCTTAACTAAAAAGTTGGAAAGCGAGGATAAGGTGTGCATACATCTTAACCTACTGAACCCCGCTTGTAGAATTACACGGGGTATGTTATTGTTTATCACATCATAATACAATCAACACCTCAACTGATGAGAGGGTAGAAAGTATTTTTACAAACATGATAAGGTATCCAATGCTATGGTATACTATGGGGCAACTGCAATCAAGTATAATGGTATCACACACTTTTTTCTAACATAATCAGCAATATTCTATAATATGTTGATCATGTGTTCGCGACTGTACAGTCATGTACGACCATGCATGACAAGCTATGCTAAACGTAGTGTTCTTCGTATTTCAAGACAGCATAGTGCTTACGAGAAGCTTCTCTTCATACTGATGTGGGATGTTCTTTTGTCTTCGTCCTGTTCAGCTGCTGCTGCTTCCCCATAATCCCTAACGATGATTTCTATGAAAGAAGAAAAAGAAGCAGTCTCATACATAATAGGACAAGACCAGCAAAAGACTGCTAAAATGTAAATCACCATCTATGTTTGGAGGGTGCATATGTTCATATCAATAGCAAATTACGTTGTACCAGCACCCAACGATAACAACGATAGAAGGATCAATTCCAAAACGCACCCCCTCCAAGTGAGGAATGACAGAGATAGACAGAATATGACAATTTCGAAATGACTTCTTTTTAGAGACACAGATTGGACACTCTGTCCAAACAGTTCTATTCTGGACATTATTTCTACACTGGCAGCATATAGTCATCATGGAGTAACAACAAAATGATTGTGCATGGGATTTTCTTTTCAAATAAAAAACACAAATTTGAAGGGAGACAAAGGTGGATGACACATCATATATAATGTTTATAAATAGCTACAGTTATGTTTGAAGTGTGTTGTCCATCACATGCATAGGCAAAGATGCAAAAATAATCTAAGTGCTTTACCATATGCTACTGTATGACTGGAGACCACTGCCTAGTCCGCGTCCTTAACTTCTGCTTCTATATCAACAATTCCGATAGAAGAATCCTTACCTGTAAAGTAAATACATGAGGTGAAGTAAGCTCTAATCCAGATATATCAAGGGACAGTCCTAGGATCATGATTTAAAGCCCTAATGGTTAAAGTTGCACAAATTTTGGCAGTATTCCGCAGTCTAGCAGTTAAATCAATTCTTATGAGGATTATTTGAAGTTTATCTGGAAAACATGTTTTAAAGATTCATCTCTTAATCTTAAAAAAATTCTCAGACAGAAACGCATGATGAGAAGAAACATAAACCAAGTTTGCTTGGAATTTTAAGACTTTAATCTTAAGGAAATATTTGAATACCAACACTAATAGAGCACATAAGGATCCCAAAGAAGTTAGAAAAGAAAGTTTTCTTTCTTGAAGGAATCCATTCTCATATTTGTTTATGCTGGCTAACTTTCCAGAAGGAGAACTGCAAAAGTTGAGCTTATTTACAGGAGAGGCAGCATTAACTTCATCAGATGAACGATATTCCAAAAAAAAAAAAAAAAAGAACTTCATGAATGATTAAACTGTTAGTGCCCTTATTATGCACCGAGTTTAGGTAAATGGACTATGCAACTGAACACCATAACCAGTAAATGTTTAAAGAAGAGTAAGAAAGATGAACCTTTCTTTGAACGAGTACTGAAATCACCGAATGCTTGGCCAAATGTAGTTGACTGGTTGGAGAACGTTACTGGGTCTCTCACGAACTTATTACCAACAACTGCAGATATGCAAGGAATATCTCAAATAACACGCTTAGCTTGCATCAGTTACTCATGATATAGCCCACATCAATGTTTGAACAAAGATTTGAAATGATTAAAAAAATCAATTTACATCAAGGAAGTCCAAGATAACAGAAAGAAAAGTCAAAACACATTCAACACTCTCAAGATATTAATTATCGCTAGCAACATCTGATTGTTGTATTCAAGTGCTTAACAACCATTAAAAAACATCAAACATGTATATACTCCAAGGATTCAAAAGACCACAACGGAGAGAAAATAATTATAAGGAAAAGAAGAGAAATAGACGAAGCTCTACTTATATCTAGGACTGGGAGATCGATATAGTAAGCCTAAGTGCAATGCAAACAAGCCACATGAAGAGCTGTGAACTTCTGATGGTTTACCTTGCATATATGCATTGGGACAAAGGAATAAGATTATGAGGCGGAGAAACGCGAGGTAAACAGGGTACATAAATTTTATTTAGGGCCATATATGATACGAGCTATTTGATATTTGAATTTCTTGATAAATCTGTTCGGTGTGCAAATTCCCATCAGCTCTCTTAAAACCCAATATGAGAGCAATAATGTAACTAAATGAAACAAGAATGCCACCAATTGGCAATTGCTCAGCTATGAGGAAGTTGTCAAAACAAGGGAGACAAGCCAACTTAGAGAATCAATTTTAACCTGAGAATGGCTGAGTACAGAAAGGGCAAAGCTGAACCTCATCATTTAAAGTAGACCTGCACTGGGTGAAAATCAATGCTATGAGTAACAAAAACAACCAACCCCCTGGCTTCAATATTTCTCTTAAACAAGGTTCCATTTGATCTTACCTGAAAATTTGAAATTCATTCCCGCAGTTTGGGCACTGCACAGTAGAAGAAATCCATTAGCAAACACAGAAAGGAAGCATGTGCCATAAGAAGTTTGATAGTTGTTTAGATGGACCCAGAGAACTTCCATCTGATCTGCTTTAATTTTAAAACAATATATATATTTCTCATCACTGTATTACCCTAAGGAGTGCACCTACAACAGAATAATCCTAACTGCTTGGTAAAAGCATCATACACACATTGTAAAAATATACGAGCACAAGATAGCCCATTGTTTGTCACAAATAGTAGTTATTCTAGAAATTCTGTCTGTCAGTTGAAATTTAAGCATTTCACGGAAGGATACAATAGAGCAGGTTAGATGCTGCAGAACTTGACACATTTTGAGATACTGAGAAGTGCTAAATCGGTTTGAGGCGATAGAGCTATACACAAATTGCATTTTTGGATGAAATCTATAAAGTCCAAAAGAAGTGCACGTCAAGTTAATAGGGGAGAAAGTGATCTCATTGAGATCCGTACACTAGAGGAGTTTGAATACCGGATCCCTTTAATGTAATGTAATATTCAAAAATACTTCAAAATAATGGATGAGATATATTATCCACATAAATTTATTATCAGTCAAACTACTTAAATTTGATATTTCACAGGCAGAAGTAGGCACATATGCAATTCTCAATGCAGGCAGTTGAAATAATAGGATAAATGTGGAAAAGTGAAGACATGCAAGTTTAGTTCCCTTACAGCGCTTTGAACAATATCTCGTCCAGCCCACCAAATAAAAGCTCCCAAACCTAAAATTGGAAGTAGAACTGCAAGGATCTGAAAAACAGAAAATGAAAGACAACTGTTAATATCTAAGGTATGGCATGGCAAGATAACCATAGCTAATACATGCAAAGCAGCAATACAGAGATTGACTGCATAATGAAAAATTGTACATATATTACTCATTAGTCCTTCAGATTTAAGCACTATGCGAACAGCGATAACTTAAATAAATTCTAAAATGCAGTGAACACAAACACCCTAAAATATGAAAGGATAAGCATCATCATAGTATTAACATGTTCCATACACTGTGTTAGCTTATACAGTACATGTTAAGTATCAGAAACAGCAAATGTAAATTAAAGAAGTTTCTGAACTAGCATCACACAATTTACTTTAAAGGTGATACCTGAGATGAAAGTCATTCTGGAAAAGAAAAAAAGGTGTACCCAAGCCATGGCATACTATCCTCACAAAAAAACTAATTTCTAACAATTCCATGTAAAATTAAATATAGACGTATATCTCTAATAACCAAACAACAACAACTACTATGCTTCAGTCCCAAACAAGTTGGGAACGGCTATATGAATCTCACTTCTTCATTAGCTCATTTCTTATCATCAACATCAACAACAACAACACCAACACACCCAGTCCACAAGTGGGGTCTGGGGAGGGTAGTGTGTATGTAGACCTTACCCCTACCTTGGGAGTTAGAGAGTTTGTACCCTCAACTCAAGTAAAAGCATTATAAAGCGGTTCGAAGAACGAAAACAACGGAAGTGAAAAAACCAAGACAAAATACTAAACAACGCATCACAAAGCATACTAAAAGGGAACAATCAATACAACAAAATAATACAATAATCCAAGTGCAAGAAACATTAAATGGTACAGAAATGAAATAACAACAACACATTGAGTAATGCTACGACTATTAGTATGAAAGATAAAGCGAGACAACTCTCAACTACGTAACTAACCCTCTACCCTAATCATCATACTACATAAATATATCATCTCTAATAACCAAATGGTGCACAAATAGAATCTAAATGCTAATATGCCAAGCTAAGTGATGCTTGAGAGAGAAGTACCCAAACAGAAACAATAGCATCCAAGATCCAACCCAGCTGACCAGTCATAGTAAGATAAGTAAGCCCAATTGCTAGCACAAGATTACTCAACACTCTCACAGTCTCACTATTATCCCTCCCACCACCCCCACCACCACCACCACCACCACCACCACCATCACCAATCCCATCCAATCCAAACCCTTGTTTAAATTTCACAAAAACCATTCTTTTCTCACAACCCCATCTCTCCTCCTTCATCAAAATCCCATTTTTATCTGTCAAGAATGAGTTTTTCTCCTTAAAAGCTCCTAATTTGTACCAACTACTACAAATTGACACTTTTCTTGCACTTAAATTAGTGAAACAACAACTGGGTCGCTGTAATTTCAGCCCAAGAAAGTTTGTTTTTTTGTACAAAGCATCATGTGGTGTCTTTAAGGGTGATAAATTGATGGGAATTTGAGCAAGTGCTGTCATGGTAAAGTTCAATACTTTTTACTGAAACAAGGAAGTTTATGTGAATGGGTTCATGTGTTTATTAGAATTTCAAAAACAAAAACAATTGCTAGCTCTTGTATAGTTAGCAATTTGCAGAGCTCTTCTTCTCAACAAGATCTTTCCAATCATACGTGGCGTAGAACACCTAGCTGGTAGGATGTGGGACCAGATTTTATAAATAAAATAAAAATACATGTCTAATAACATAACATATGAATATTTAAATGGTGTAATTTTTAATATAATTATTATAATCGTGAATATTGATATGTAATGGGGTCAAAAGTATACATTTTAAATTATTAAAGGATAAATATATTTAATTAAATAAAATAAATATTTACCAGTTATTGAGGAATAAATTTTTTTACAATATATAATCAATGAAAATGGAAAATAGTGTGGACGAGAGAATAAAGAAAAATACTTTTTATGTGTGTATAATGTTTTCTTTTTTATTTTTCATCCGGTGTCTGATACCTGTAGTGTAGTTTGACTAAATCAAGCCTCGAACTAGAAATCTTTGATTAACAGAGTAGCAATCTCATCCTTTACACGATATCCTTTGATGGTTATGTGTGTTAGTATGTACTATCCATATTTTAGGATTCTTGGAACAAGTAGTGTTATCTTTTTATTATACATCAATTAGTGAGTTCTCTTTATAACTTTATTTTTTTTAAAAATAGTACTCTCGCTTCCAATTTGTTTGTTTAATTTTGACTTACTACAAAATTTAAGAAAGTAAATCAGAACTTGATAATTTATCACAAAACTCAAAAGCATGTTGTAGACAAACCTTTGAGAAGAGATGAAAGAAGAATTAACCTAAATAGTTGAGTAGTCAAAAATTATAATTATAAAGACAAAAAAGAAAAGAAAAGAGTCAACTGCTAATATGCTTCTCTGTTTTATTTCAAATGAAGTATTCATTGCCTCAGAATGAAAGGATTCAGTGCTAATTAACACTCACAAAATGTTCTAGTTGATCTGTAATAGGAATCTGGTATACATCAACAAGCAAATCCAATATAACATACAAAAGCAGTAGGGAGAAGTGACTGATGTCTGAAGACAATTTTTCACAACAATACATGTTGCATAATCACTCATTCTTTTTATCTCCTAAAGTAGCATCTCCTGAAGTAGTTGAAACAGCTTCTGCGCGATATGGCGCTGCACTGTATGCATGACGCATAAGGATAGCGAAGAAAACCATCTCCACGATCACTAGTTCATTCTGCATACCTTCCTGAAGGCGCTCCACCTCAAGCCAGAAATAGTGAGATTTTATTATGCCTAGTGATACCAGAATACTAAGCAGAATACCCTGCAAAGTGGTACAAGTTTCTTTTTTAGCATAACAAAACTATACTGTAAAAGCAGATATTAATATTTGATTTTCATACCATTAGGAGATTTGGAAATATAGTACATTCTGATGAGTTGCGAGTCTATTGGAAACAACCTCTCTATCTTTACAAGATATAGAGGTAAGGCTGCGTACACACCACCCTTCCCAGACCCCACTGTGGGATTACACTTAGTTTCGTTGTTGTTGTAGAACATTCTAGCAGACTTCATAAAGAAATTTAGCGCTAATGGTTTGATTTGTATACCATTAGGAAACCAACCTTCTCTCAAGGTTGCAAGTAAGGCTGCATACACACCACCCTCCCTAGACCTCACTTGTGGAATTACACTGGGTTCATTGTTGTTGTAGAACATTCTAATCAATAATGCAGGTCCCATAAAGAAAATAGCAGCAAAATTTGAAATCCAATATGTAAATTACAAGAAAGCAAAATATAAGACTAATGAAAGATGAGAGACGAACCTGCCAGAAAACGAAAAAGACAATTCCTTTGACACACAGGAACTTGGCTAGAGGCTTGTGAGGCGCCAACTCCTTCGCAAACACGTGGTAGAAAACCACAAGAGAGTACAATGCCAGTGAAACGGATATGTTCAAAATGATGGTAAAGGTCCAGCTAACCCAACTAGGGTACACTCCAAGCATTTGTAAAACAACCATCAAGATGGAGCATACAGGGCGAATCACAACAAATTGCCATGTCCAGTTCTTGAGAAGCTTCAATGTATGATGGTTCAAATGAACACTGTGAGGCTGCAGTGACACAACAGTTAGCTTGTGACCGAGTACCATGACAACACTAAAACTGTATATGTAAGCTTCTAGGAGGCATCATGCTTTTTGGTCCCAAAGAAAAAAGAAAGAGAGCACTGAAATGGTGTACTTATATGCCTAACATCTGAGTTTATAAACTTACTACACAGTAAAATAATTTGTCCATGTAAACTTAGTAAGCAACTCAATGCAGGAGTATACCTATCCATCGGTGCAAAAGAATTGAAATAGTGCACTCTGTGCTTAACAGTATATATACTCTATAAGGCATGCTGAACGGAATGTAATTTAGTTTCCGTCCTTGTTGGCATCATCACATTTTTTTCTCATAAACATGCAATGTTGATAATATATACGAGTGATATGTACACATAATTTTAGATTACACATTGTACCTGGAAGAGTGTCATTGGGAATGAGTGGTGAATCTGTCTTCCCTTAATTTCATCAGGGACTATGTTTTTGCTTATGGATATATTCAAGTAAGTGTACATCAACCCCAGAAACTTAGCCATCACCTGTATCACATAGAACACAAGTGAGCAAAGAATCTCTGACAAGAACACAGCTCAACAAGTGACGCTTGATGCAGGCAGAAAGTGTTAACTTGGCTATACTTACAATTGCTTCATAACATTCTTTGACAGATTCCAAGAAAGTGAAAAAGGGTTTGCTTCCCATGAAATCGACCAATCCAATGAAGGAGACAATAGCATACAAGGGTGCCATGAGGACGATAATAATTATGGCCTTTTGCTCTTTAGGCTTCTTCCATGACGTAAAATGTTCTGTCACTAGCTGTATGCTGAAATGCAAAGTCAGCATAAGACATATACTGGATACTATCAGTGTGACTTGCCCACGATCCAGATCCAATTCCATATTTGTTGTTCGCCAACAAGAATACCAAAATCAAACCTGCACAGTGGTGTTAAGACTTATCAGGACTGAATTTTCAAGAGAAATGTAGGGAAATAAAATAGACAAGAATTTCATTGATATACAGAAGTACAACTTTCATTGTTACCCAAAATTCATTTATGTACAATATATCTACTGATTTATGTAGATTACCACCATTATTTAATTCAATCCGCCAAATTTCATTTCTATTCCTCGACCTTCACTCCTCATGTCAACCATCAGGATATATCACCACTTCCACTTGCAACAATTAAGAAACCCAAATGACAAATCTGTAACACTGACTTCTCATACCAGTCAGTTTTTTAACCCAATTATTCCATCATTCATAATCTGAAAGGTTATAATTCCGAGGACAAGCCAGCTTTGTCTTCGGTCTTCAACTTTATGTTCTAACTAGAAGGGCAGATTGACTCATTCATGACCTAAACTAACCCTTCAAAGGTACTCAATGTTCCCAATCCATCCCATTTTGGATCAATAATTGGATATAGCTCCGTTAACCAATCAATCTAAACTAAACCATCTGGTGAACCATGACTTAATAGTGTTCGCAGTTCTTAATTGGTACCCAATCAATGATAAATTACCATAAAAAATCCTCTTATTTACATGCTAACAGTAATAGAACAAATCTGTTAGTTAGTTCAAGATAGAGTTAAGGTAAGTGGAAAGGTTTAAAGAAAAGAGTACTTATCGACATCAACACTTAGTCCTAACTACAACGAGAAATATGAGGAATCCAAAGTATCATAGTATCACTAGTACAACAACAAAACAACATGCCCCGTGTAGTCCCATAAGTGGGGTCGGGGTAGGATGCACGCATCCTACCTACCAGTGTAATCCCACAAGTATGGATGATATTTTAGCTAACAGTGTGTGGTTCAGTGTGCAACTTTTGGGTCTTTTGCCCAAGAACAAGATGAAATTACAAACTAAGCTAATCACTCTGTCTCACCTCTAGTTTCCTCAACAGTTGACCTTGTATTTTTATGACCTTAAAATCATCAAAAAGACAAACCCTTTACAAATTACAAGGTCAATTTGGACTCAAACAAGCTAAATGGAAACTAGCTAGGCTACAATACAATCATGGATATTTCAAGATTCACCCAAGAAAAAAACATCAAGGATCCAGCTGCTGCACTAAAAAACATAAGCAACATTTTCAAGAAAAGTAAAAATTTGATCTTTCAACAATATTGTAATCTAAACAAGTAAAATCTCTACATAAGTGACTTCTTATGGTTAATCCCAACAAAATACATAATGATTTCAACATAAAAAGTATAACTAATGAGTGGGAGCTAACAAAAATAGGAAAAAAGGGGTAAGAAAGAGAAAGACAAGTACTTACAGAGTTTGTAGAAATGGGCGTTAAATGCAATGAAGAAATTGTTGAGATTGTAGTGAATAATATTGTACACCAACCAAAACACTGACCCTGTAGATCGTACAAGGCTGTTAACTATTGGAGAAAATGAATACTCTTTATATTAAAAAAAAACAATTGCCACGTTGAGTTTACGATATTGATATGCTAAAAGGACAGTCGATATATCCGGAGATTTAAATACTAGGTGATTTTCTCATCTGTTATATATATATGTAGGCAGTGTGATACTCTAAGCTCGGGGTCTGGAGAAGAGTTTGACTATAAGGATTTATTGTATGCAATTTTATACTATATTTCTACGAGAGGCTACGTTCACAACATGACAATATATTAGTGAAAATATAGATAGAAAATTACACCCGACACTACGATTATAATGTGACATAGAGGGAATTCACTCGTCTCTTACGCGGCTTTGTAATGGACTAATGGCCTACATTTTTGACAAAATTATTTGAAGGCCTATGTTTTCTCTATTGGGGGGCTAAATGCTAGTAACACTTTTGCTTCTAGCTTTTTAGTAGATTTTAGAAAAGATAGAGAAAACTAGTCCCATGAAAATATGACTTTCAAAATAGTAAAATTAGC